TTCAGAGATACGATCCAGACCCAAAAGAAGAATAAACTTTTTCAATTCTTCAATATTTTCAATGATTTTTTTTGTAATTTCTGAATTACTATTCGGTGTCCAAGAATTACGCTGTGCAGAAAGATAACAAGCCAAAAACAAAACAACACATCAATTTAACAGATATTAAATGCAACGTCGATTTTTTAAAGCTTTACATTATCTTCTATATACATGCTTAGTAAAAATATACTTTGTTTTGTTTTCTTATTCTTTCTCCATTTAGACATAGCTTGCTCGAATAAATTATTAAATTACCGTGATGTAGAAATATTGTATTCCAACATTTATCGAATAATTGCAAGTCTTTTTTTATGATGTTTATGAGTGTCTGATCAAATATAAAGAGCATAAAAATTGGCTAGTGCTAAAAAGAAAATAATTTCCAATTTCACATGAAGAATTGAGGTTTCATTGCCTTTTATGACTTTCTATTTTTCTTTCCTTGTGGTTCCAATGATTCCTAATTTTATCACGCATACATTCCTCGCTTTACTGGTGGAACTAGGTGTTCTGGGAGTTCTTCGGGTAAATCGTAGCCTTCAAGTTTCACGTTTATCAAATGCATCGCCAGGGAAAATTCGTCAGCATCGAGAAAACCATCTTTATCGTAATCAGCGAGCTTCCAGATTTTTCCAAGAACACTATTAGGGAGTTTGGACTTTATCATTTCAGATTTAGCCGCTGGAATATTTTTAAAAAAAGTAACATTAACGTCACATTCAATTCCCCAATAATTTCTACAATTTCAATTTTACAGTGGAAGGAAAAAAAAATTTTTTTTCATCACAAAATTAATACTGTCAATTTGTAATGATTGATAATGCAAAAATGGTCAACTAATTATCTCAACAGGTACGTTGGAAAAAAAATTATCCCTCTTTGATTTGCAAATATTTCCGAAAAATAGAAGTGGTCCCTTTTTTACAACAGATTTGAGGAAAATTTTTACCTGCTCCAGTAATTTTTCCATCAGTTGGTCCCAGACTTTCGAACATGTTATCGTATTTGTAACGCTCTTTATTGACAATCCACTCAGGTTCACCAGCACCAGCATCGATTCCCTCGCCCCTTTTGTATCCAAATGGACTGATTTGATCCTCAACTCCTTCAAAAGCGCCTCCTGAAATTAATATTAACAATTAGATATATTTGTTGAAGCTGTGAAAAAAATAATACATTGAAAAAACGAAATAAATAAACGAATGAGCGCATAAATACCTCTAATTAACGGCTCAGTCGTATTGCTAATTTCTTCATGTGGAATCATAGCCATCAATTTAGCGATATCCTCAGCCAGCATTTTATCAACTACCTCTAACAGTCTTGGTTTCAGGGGATTGAATTTCGTAAAATCATGATGAGTTAAATTCTCTTGCATTTTCTTCAAATCCGGAAAATCTCCAGGAGAAATCTGGTGCTCCCTCTGTATCTGATCATAAATCTGTCCCAAATTCTTAATCAACTCCTTCTTTTTGGCATCTTTACCAAAAACCGTAGGCATGTCTTTCCTCAATGCACTGATTATATAAGCATGAACCTTGGCAAGTCTAGCCCTCTTAATCAAATCATTAAGTTTCCTGAGTGTTGCATTTTTCGGCAATGACTGCATATCCTTGAATAGGTCCTGCTCCTCAGCTTCAAAGAGTCTCCTATTAACGTCGTACCTCAATGGTTGATCCCAGAAGGAGCCAATGTAGACTCTAGCGACCTCCGGTGTTTGCAATACCTTCCCCAAGGACCACATGAGAGCTCCATAAACCCGCATCAGTTGCTGATGATCGATCATATCCGCTTTATTTAGGACAATTCGAATTTTATCATCGTGGCCTCTCAAAGCTTCGATGGAGCGTCTGAATTCGTCAGAAATGTCCAACTTGTGGGCATCGAATAACAAAATAATCCGGTCAACTCTCTCAGCAAACCACTCAAGTACTCCAGTAAAATCATAGCCTCTGTCCACTCTCTGCTTCTCACCAGATAAAATTCCAGGGGTATCGACGATTGATATTCCCTTGAGCACCGGTGATGCTACCATAGAGCACTGGAGTCTGTTGAGAAAAGCATTGCCGAATTTAGCCAGCGGACGAAATTGCTTGCTGGGATCCACCACGAGGGCATTCCCTGGAATTACTCCCTCCTTCTGATCGTACATCACTGCTATGAAACGATCAGTTGTTGGTTCAGGTCCGATTCTAATACCTGGAAAGTCTCGCTCCAGGAGGTACTTTATGAATGTCGTTTTCCCAGTGGAATATTGACCCACTAGGAGAATCATAGGTTTTGCATCGAAGTCTGGGTCGTCCAGCTGAGGGGAATGGAAGTCATGGAACTGGTAATGTTGTTCTAAGGGTAGGAGTTTCGTCTTGTAGATGTGGTTCAAGCCTTGAGTGACATTATCAAAGATGTCTTGCTTGTCGTTGCCCTCGCGGGTCAACCAGGAGAACATTTTCCGGCACTAGGATTTTTTACTGCAACTGAAATAACCATTGGCCATTTTTACGTTTGTTCATTATTTGTCATTATTATTACCTCGTGTTCATCAAATAACTAGTTTATTTATTCTATTTTTATATCAGTAAATTGAAAGATGTTAATAGGTCTATTCCTTTTTAAATCGGCATTCTTAACATAAATTTAGAAATTTAGAAATTCAGAGAGAGTTCCTTCCCGGCAAAAATATTCATTTACATTGGAAATATATTTATTTGTTCGGTTTTGTTTATACTGGATAAATATTTATTTTTTAATATTTTTTTCAAAACGATCTAAATATCTTCCCTATTTCACGATCTAGTTGACAATTTTTTTACAACAAACAATCCGAAGATGTAGAGTGGTAATTCTTTTAACCATTAAAGGTGACAAAGTGACGCGAAACTGCTAAAAAAATTGATTAACTCATGCATAAGTCGAGTCACGTGAGGAAGAATAGAGAAAAATGAAGGATATTCTCTTCTCCTCAGCAAAATAATGAAAAAAATCAATTCTCATAGCAGATTCGTTCCGAAAATGTGAAATGAATGAAAGGAATGAAATTTTTACGGAAAACTTGTGTGAAAGTGAATGAATTCATTTGGATAAATTTATGGTGAAAATGAAAATTTTTCCGATTTTCTAATTCTGAATTTTTGGGAAGATATAAAACACTGCGTCCATCATTGTTTCCTCACTGCAGCTATTTCCTTAATCCAAATTGACAAGACGAAAAAAGGGTAATTAAAACTATGACCTTGCGGGAAGACATGTGCAATAGTTTTTCAGTATAAAAAAAAGTGAAAGATACTGGGAACAAAAAATTAATCACCGTATGACCAAGGTGTAAAAGACAGAGGTGAACTTTTTACAATATCACAGATTTACGAAAGTCAATTTCAGAATTTATCGTTCAAACTCGCAATTAAACTGTCCGTAAAAATTACGTACAAAAAATTCAATCAATTCACTCTCATCAATTTCTTTATTGATTGGCAAATGGATTAAATTCAAATCGTCGTGAGTGACGAATTTCTAAAGGGATAGCTCAGAACTCCATGAATCATCGGATTAATTAATTCGGGTTGCTGGCTTTTCCCTAAATCTGATTACTATCTAAAATGCTTTCTCCGTCTCCCAAATCTCACACAGAAACAAAAATTCCTTAAGAGATTGAAATCCCTTTGCCAATTTTCTCGCCGAGAAATTCACCACAAACTTCGAAAAAATGGAAAAACAAAAAAATATGAAAAACAACACGAGATATAAATATGATCCGTCACTTCTGACAACTGTACTTCGTATCTCTCTTTCCCAAAGGTTTGCCCACCCTCAAAGCAGGAAAATATCTCCCAAAAACTGACGTTTCAAGTTGTACAAGGAAAACCCCTTAAACCCCACTGAGGAAAATTGAAAAAAATAACGATAAAATAATCATTGACTAACGGAAATGGTCAAAAATGTGAAAAACTTCGGAGCAGCTATTAGCCACGTCAACGTGGGAGTTGTCACTCCAAACTAACCTAAAAAGTATCAAGATTAAACATTCCTCCAACCAATAAAAAAATCCCCAATTATCATTATCAAAAACTGATACCAGTGCTCTCTGATTGTGCAATTAAATCTGTCCATCACCTCCTGAGAAATAAATTTCAATTTTCCTCACAACACACTATCACTCGTTACCGAACTTTTCACATTAATTAATAAAATAAATAAATTAATGAAAAATCAGGAAAAATGTCACACTCACTGATTCGAATGAACTAGGTATATATATCTGAGTCAACTTTCATGGAGCATGAAAGAGTGGAGATGTAGAGGTAGAGAAGGCGGATTCCTGATAATTTTGTGATGATAATGATGAACACAGCGATACTTGAACCTCTGACGGCTCAGCTCTTCAGCTCTCACCCTTCTTCACACACAGCCCCACTCCTTTTACATCACCTCACACACGTTCAACTACCAAATCCCCTAGAAAAAGCCTTGGGTAACTACTAAATTCGTGAGAAAAATGCAAGTCACATTTTTATTGCTCCTTTCCTTCAAAATTTATTAGTTTCTTTTTTTTATGCCATTTTTCTGGCATTATTATATCTGCAAAGTGATGAAAATTAATCGTTATAACTAATCATGAACTATTTGAGAAAACTCATCTTTCTACATTATCCTATATCATGATATTTTCATATTAAATTTTTCTCCTCTCTCTCTCTCTCTCTGTTTCCAGGATTTTTCTTATATTTTCAGCTTTAAATTTATTTTCTCGCCTTTTTATTGTTCCAATTTGATGAGCATACGAAATTTCTCTTTTGGAATTTTCTGTCCTAGAGAAGTTTTTGAATTATTAAATAAAAGTATGTAAAGAATTTAATTTTATTCTAATTAAAAGCTTAAGGTATACCTCCGAGTTTGATTTGATTTATTTGACTATCGCGAGATGAAATAAGAAATTATTCAGATGATTATCGGTGACTTTGTAGACTTTAAAATATTGACCTGAAAATATAAAATGTTACGAATTTAGGAAATGATAACGCAAGGCAGAAAATGGAGTATTAATTGTAGAATCACTACTTATCGTAGATTCCTCTATCTTTATGATGGCTCATCGATAATTGAGTTTAACCAATGGAGAGAGACCCGGTGACAGCAAATAATGCTGATTTTAAAGATAATGTTTGTGAGAAATGAAGAATGAGTACGTGCCCTTGATTGGTCATTTGATATTCACGACTTCAAACCGGAAGTGTGCAGATTGAAATGAACTTGAGAACTAGAGAGACTTCCAGGTCAGAGGAAGTCACAACTGTGATCGTTACACCTGTTGCATAAGATTTTTAATCCCATAATTGTTTTCCTCTTTTCTTTTTTAATTAGTGCAGTCGTTTTAACTCAGATAGCTATAGGTAAACTATGTGAATAGATAAATCATTTTGAATACAATATTCAGAGGAAAATAGAAAAATATCTAATGGAGAGTTTGGTTTCATCTGAATAAATCTCAGTTAATTTTGATCAGTAAGTATTGATTTAGAATGATTGAGTCCATTTGACAGACGGGGCTGGTCATTTAATTGATTTCTGATAGCAATTATAATAGGGCAATGCATTAATATCTGTGAGATATCTCGGACTTTGATTTCAAACGGATGGACGGGCTTTTAAGTACTTAAACGTATGTGGAATCATTGTAGCTGGGTGAATGAATTGCGTCCATGACCGGGATTATTACTTTTTCACTGTAAATGATTCGTTACGTTTGTCTCAAGGCTCACGCAATGCTTTTTATTCTTCTATATGTGGTCTAGATACGAGTATTTTTACATGATTATTTACGCACACATGGGATTCTGTAAGAATGACAGAGAAAACCTTTTCACAGCTCAAAAAAATTCCCTTGTGGCTTGGTTGCAAAATTTTCATGAAAATAATCGTCTTTAAAGATTACATAATTTTTTTTGTATTTTATTTCTTATTTTTAACGGAATTCGTTGCAAGTTCTTCCAAGAACTTGCAGCTGGCCATTGCCCGAGGGCCTTCAGCCCATAATTTTTTTTTTTGTATTTTGAAATAAAAAAAATGTTTTCAAGAAAATGGAGGAATCATTAATAAACCCAATGGAGCATTGAATAAAATTGAGTGACGAAGTGACGGAATACAAAGTAATTGGTAATTGGTCATGTTTATTTGGAAACCAATGGAAAAATAATAATTTGAAAATTCCACTGTAATAATGATGAATTTATTTAGAATGTAGAATACGCTGTGAGCAAACAACTCCACAGTTTCGTCCACAATTCATCAGCATAGGAATTCTCGAAATTTTTCTGTATCGGTTGGAAGTCAGTATTTTATTGTCAATACTGGTAATCTCTGATTCCGAGTAGATTTGGGATTTTTTCTTGATACTCGGCATGGCGGCGATAAAGTCGTCGCATTGGCTTTGAATCTGTTGTAAAATCCTTGGATTTGAATTTCTGTACAACTTTAAATAATCATCGTCAGATAAATCGAAAGCACTTTGTACGGTTGGCCTAAGATCATTCGTAAATAATTTCCTGGGCATCTTTCCGTGCCTCCAAAGCAAATTTTCATGGTCGGGATGCATTTCGTGGGATATTGTTAAACAGATTGATCTAGAAAAAACGATAGAGCGAAAATTACATTTTTACGGAAAATAATTGTTTTTCATGACAAAAAAAAAACAAATCCAATTTATAGAGAAATATTTTATTAGATTTACACTTATTCTTCCTTTTCCCATCACTCCACAATTTTTATCTCGTCTTTCCCTGATAGATATTGTATCTCACTGAATAAGTAGTTTTCGATTTTTTATTACGATAAGTCAATTTTTTAATTAAAAGCAAATTTTCTTCATTTTTTCCCTTCTATTTGAAGTGATTGAACATCTATCAGTCTTAAATGGATTATCGGATGGATGATAATGCCTTACTCACTTGGAATCTACACATTTTTTAATGGAAATCCCCTCAGAAGAGAAAATAGTCTTCAATCTTCGAATTAGATTATTCCAGAAACTGAGAATCCACTGACGAAAATTTTTTATTAAAGATCTTTCATTTTCATTTCGACAACTGCGCGATCTCGAAGTTGATAAATTCATACTTAAAATATTCAGATAAAAAATAGATGAAAATTAACCTGATAAAAGTCGGTGAAAAAAAAAGTCAATTCTTCTCACTTCACATTATCATTCTTATTTGTTTTATTTTGTTTAATCCCTATGGACGTAAATAATTGTATAATAATTCTATTCAGTATTTCAAAGTGGTGGAAATGGCATGGGTATTAATAAAACTATGCTGAATGATCGGTGAAAAATTCTTGGCTGAAATAACTTCATTCAAAAATAATGAAAACCACTTGAATCCCTCAAAATCTGGGGAGTATATTATCCGAGTTCTAGGAAAACTCTAGCGATGAGAAAATAGAGGCTATCAAAAAATAATAACACGAGTTATCCGTCTGCTCGCGCAATTCCACAAATAATTAAACTTTGCACTCAGCGTCCCAGTTCGTTGGAAGTACATTTTGCCACACGTGTAGCAAATTCAAGAGTTTGCATGGCTCCTGACACCTGGGGATTCCAAGAGGAGTTGTCCGGTCCATATCTGTATTATTCAAGTACTTCACCTGAAAGTCAAATTTTGAAAATAATTCTATTAGCGAATCCAAGAGAAAAATCACGTACATGGGAAAATACATTTTTTTAATGATCTCGAATATAAAATCATTAAAGTCCTTATGAATTCCTCTATATGAATCTTAATATTGCAATAGTCACAGAATAATCTCGAGGGACTAATTTTATATTAAATAATAAAATAATAAATATATAATAAAATAATTGTGATAATTGAAATCGTCATGTTGAATCTGAATAGTCTTAATCGAGAAAAATAATGAATGTTCAATAATATTTTAATGATTACTTTCATGAGGGATATAGACATATCCGATAATTGAAATTGAACAATTATTTTGGAATAATTACCTTGACTTCCAGTGCGCGTTCTCCTTCTTCCAAATCCTCAGACAAAACAAGTTCGAAGATGAGAGCGGCTCCATAATCTGGTTTAAATAATTCCTCGGTAAACCCCATCGCCCTCAGCACATTTACAAGCGTAATATCGTGTGCGGAGTACAGATACAATTTCCTCTCATCCTCGCCATTTCGTACTCGCATCATATTATCCGTAATCTCTTTCAGCAAAGGGCCTAGCAGTGATTAATTCGTACTACTATTAATTTTTTATATCTATTGCTGTGGTCTACTGTTGTGATTGTGAATGAATTCTAAAATGCGGTAATTGAGAAAAATTTTTCATTTGTCTTCCAAACGGAAATTAAAGATATAAAAATATTTCGATATTTTCAGTTTTTTAAATAAAAAGAACTTTTCGGTATTAAAAAAAATTACAAATAAAAATTAGTTAAGTAGAAGTCTAATTAACAAAAAAAAATCATATCAATTATCAATGTTCTCAGTTTTAATGATAAAATTCCACAGCAACAGTCGGCGATTTTTTTCAATTACAGCAGTCGTAATTATTGAAAAATAAATAAAATGTGGATTTTTTTTTATCACCTCCTCGTAAACGTCTTTGTAACGTATTGCTTGTAAATATTGCTAAACTTTTAGCTGCAATCTCTCGCATTTTATCGTTGTAGAATTTTTTTGTCCACTCTGGCAGTTTCAGTCCATGCTCATTCTTAGAAAAATTCTGAAGAATTAATAATTTTTCAAACGAATAACAAAGCAAAAAAAATATTGTTTACCTCAATTTCAAGAGTATTGTACAGGAATTCGACATCAGTAATTGTCTCTATTTTTTGGCCAGTGTAATATGATAATTGTGAATAATAAGACGCCATTTCCTTCCCAGACTCGGCCGATTCATTGACATAAGCTTCCTTGAGTGCTTCATCGAGTTTGGCACAAGGATATTTCACCACTATGAGCTGCAAAATAAAATCAATCCATATTTCATACAGATTTCCAATCGTTCAGTCGTCCATTAATTTGTTATTTATTTTCCATGTTAAATTCTTACTGCAATAAAAATTGGAGCACTAAAAAAATACTTCATATTATATATTTTCAATCTATTCTTAGAGGTAGAAGCAGAATTTTCTGGAATAAAATATCTATTGTATTAAATGAAAAGACAACTGTTCCATAAAGGATTTACTTTATCTTGATCCCGTGGAATTGGAACTACAGGTACAGGTCTCCATGGCAGATCATCAACGAAGTAATCCAGCGGTACCGGACGAAATAGTCCTGCAAGGAGTGCCTGTGCAGACATAATACATCTCTCTGCGTAACTGCTGCGTACTAGGGTTGTTTTTGAATAATACTTTTCTCCAATTACAAAGTCATACTCCTCCCTCAGCCAATGACCCAATTGATAAAGCTGTTGCATCCCTTCCTGTTTCAAATAAAACCGATTTATTACTTCATATTTATCAAAATTTTATAGAAAAACCTACCCAATATCTAGTGAATACTATTAATTTTTATTACCTTTGTGAGAGCTCCCCAACCGTCCTCCCACTCGTGATTCCTATGTGGATCCTTTGCATACGTTTCTGTGGGGTTTCTTGCCCCATGTCGAAATATCTAAACATTCAATATTTATAATATCTTTCAAATAATAAATTGGTGACAATTCATTAATTATTTCTTCTAATAATAGAATGCATAATAACAACTGAGTAATAGGCTTTCGAATGGTCGTTGGCCATCATCTACTATAATAAATTAAATTGGGAAGCTGACTTTTGAGGAAATTTATGGAAAATTCAAAATTCGAAATTTCAAATTCGATATTCTGCGACAGGCATAATTTTGTGAGCGAGGTAATGGACTCATCTCTGTGCTAAAACCTCTTCCTTTTCTTTTCTTTCAGAAAAAAATCTTTAGAACATGAGAATGTAAGAGAAGTTATTTGTGATTAAAATAATTATTGATTGTAAAATTGTAATTATCAATTTTACTATATATTTCTCCATGTCTTAAGTTTCCAATTGAAATTTATCATTACTTACAATTGCAATTTGTTTAACCGATTGATGATCCTTCTTGGAAACGAATGCACTATATGCTAATAATGTCGATAGAACGATAATACCTAGTAATAAAACAGTACAACATATTCCACGACGTGCAGGTCTGCAATTATGAAGCCAAAAACTCCTCGAGAAATCCATTCTGTCTTTTTATTGCAAAAAAAAAAATAAACCTATCATTAGAAAAAAAAAATAATTTATCTACAAATAATTCTCTTTTTATTTCACTACACACTCAACCACACATTTGTAATATTAAAAATTTACTTAAAAATCATTAAACGGCGAATGATTTTGATTCATTCTGAAGTTCACGTGAATAGAAACTTACGTAACAATTTTTTCTTTTATCGGAGGTTTCATCGGAATTGAGGAAATCTCAGTCTTGGCATATTGAATCTGCAATATTTATTTTATATATTATAACTGTATTATGAATAAATTTTCGTTTATAGGGAGGAAAGGAAATATTTATGACTTACGTTAAGTGATAGGAATACCTAGTTTTCTTTTACGTTGTGATTGCCAAGTCGTGGGGGAGAAATAAGTGTTGTGCTTGAAGCACAATGTTTTCCTATGCAATTACATGCGACATATCTCCAGACCCTCCATACACATGGAGGTACCAGCTGATTTCTTGATGCGACTGCCGGATTACGGAATTTCAGTGGGATATGATAGTAATTTGCAGTAACGTAACCAAAGAAGATTGACTAAAGTAGAGGCTCAGTGTGAGTGGTTCGGGGAACCCCAATGGCATCGTAGTAGTGCACCCCAGAAAGGGAGGGCGCCACATGGAATGTGTTGCAATTTTTTTTCATATTTATAAAATTGAAATTATCTTGTTTTCTATGAATTGAAAGAAATCCTAAGAAGAATTCCTAAGAAATTTGAAATTTAGAATTTTTCGATTCCAATGAATACCTCCTCGATTTTCATGCTCCCCTGATACATTTTTGAAAATTTAGAATTTTCAAATTTCAGTGAATACTTCCTCGATTTTCATGTTCCCCTGATACTTTTTCACAATTTTTGTATTTTCACATTTCAGCGAATACCTCCTCGATTGTCATGCTTCCCTGATACATGTTTCAAAATTTCGAATTTTTCAATTCCAGTGAATACCTCCTCGATTTTCATGCTCCCCTGATACATTTTGTAATTTTGCAGGTCGCGGCTTCGAAGGAAATTTCAATTTTCGTAGAAAACGAAAAATGAGTTTAAAATTGTGTCGCGATAGTCTCTGCAAAAGGTTTATGAATTTTTGAGAATATTTTCGTCATTTAATTTTTTTAAGGTATCGAAATATTTGCAGCTTCAGGGATTAATTAATTTTATAATAATAACGCTCACTATGCAGTACTCGTTGAAAGTTATATTTATTGATCATTAATCGGGAGACAGATACACGTGTATGGTACATAGAGCGCACGACTTTTTCATCGAATTGTTATGATTTGCACAAAACATTTGTTTATGAATATCATTTGTAATAATTCAGTAAAATACCAAGATTCCATTCGCATTAGCTATCAATTTTTCATACGGATTACGGAATACGTAGGAAAATAATTCACTATTTTAGAAATTTAATCACTACTTTTGTTTGTGCAACTCTTAATGTTTTGTTTCAAATAAATATTTGTAATAATTTCCGCTTTACATCCAATTATAATCGATCAATGATGTATGCCTTTCAATGATTAAATTATGTGAAAATAATTATTCATATGGTGAAAAAAATAAATAGATAAATAAAAAATAAATAGATAAATAAAAAATAAATAGATAAACAAAAAATAAATAATTGGAAAAAATTTTATTTTTCCCACAGTTTGGACTTAGGAAAAAAATGTCTTCTTTCACTCTTGCCCTCCAGCAATTAGTGAAATGTTTCTAGTTAAGATTGAAAATTTGTGATGCCATCCATTAATTTGTGCCTAAATTTTGAAGGTGCAATTGCTAATTATCGTCTAATTCCTATAGAGAGACATTGAGATTGAATCAAGTTGGATTTGAAATTTGAAATATCGATTCTCTTATTCAAATATTTCATAATAAATACAGGCAATTTATAGGAAGCACCAAACAGCTACAACTAATAATAGAGATGAATCGTTCAAGTAAAGTGGGACAGTCGTGAAAGTAAAAATTTCCGCAGGGTTGTTTTTAAAATTTTTTTTCTCATTTACTTTTTTTTAACTCTGAGGATAGGCTAAGAGTTGATGCATTTATGCTTGATCAGATCGTCGCCTTCGGCCTGGACCCCCAGCGTAATTCGCTGCTGCCATACCCATCAAATGTTTTGCAGCTTGAGCTCCGCTGAAACCACGATTTAATCCAAAGTCGAGCCCAAAACCGCCCCGTTTTTCACTGGAAACATCAATATTACAAGTTCAAAATATTATACCCCCAAATTACGCCATTGTGCGAAATTATGAAATACAAAGAAAATGTTGCTTCATGAATTTCCAGGCAATAGCCAATGAAAATGTCTTCCAAATGGTTTTAAAAATTGGTTCATTTCGTAGGAACAGGATGAAAAAAGTTTGAGATGATTTGGAGAACAGAAATTATTTTGATAACCGATTGAAAATGCCAAGTGGAGGTCCTGCCATCTTGAAATCTCTGTGCGGAGAGGGGGGGGGATATCTGAATAAGATGGCGGTGCTCATACTATTGTACTATTATGCTATTTATTTAAATTCCTTATAATTTTTTATCATTGAAAAAGGAGTTATCATCCTCTTCAAATTCAATTTAAACCGAAATTTTTTTCTCAGTAAAGTAATAATTTTTCAATTATGCATGAACACCTACTTATCTTGTTGCTGTAGATATCTGTTTAATTTAGTTAATACTTCATACATCTTTTCCGGATCTTCTTCCAGTTGATCGAGATACAGTGCTCGTTCCCTAAAACAAAAAGATTATTAAAAAAACTCATATATTTTCGTAATTTACTGATCAGTCCGCAAGTAAAAATATTTAAATAACATAATTCAATGGTCCACATCTGAATTTCAATTTATAAAGTAAAAAAGTAAAGAAATTATTCGACACCTCATAAAAGCTGATTCACCGCTCTTCAAGCAATTTTTATTTCTTATTATCAATAAGACAATCTAAAAATTCAAATATTGCGGGAGATAATTCAGATAATATTGATGACAGGGTGTATTTTTTTCTTCATTTACCGCAAGCAATTCACTTGGAAGATGAAAAAATTGAAAATACATACCGAGGGTAAATCTACTTTGAGTGGATTAAGCCCTTTATATCGCTCAATTATTCAGTAACAAAGTGTTGAAAGTACTTTAATCAGCTGATCTTCTTTTACCGCTGCACTACTGAATTCGTTGCAGTAATAACGAACTTCACTGTTCCCAGAGAAAAATTTATTCAGAGCCGATTCAAAAAAAAAAAACGTAAAGTCCCATTAAGACTTCAATTATGATAATTATGCTGATCTGAATAATGAAATAATTTATAAAGATAACTCCCAATAATACCATTTTGTTTTCGATTTTCAATGAATCTGTAAATTTGAAGATTTATTTATTTAAAACCCGAGTATTGGAAAAATAAAAAAGCAAAATAAATAATTGAGTCTAGACTAGAATTAATATATAATAATAAAACACGACAAATGCACAAAGACATGGAAATAAAAATAAAGATACAATAGAGACGTACAAAAAATTGAGGAAAATGTTGAAAAGGGTTGAGGGAAAATAATTAAAAATTTAAATGACTTACTGAGGATATGGTGCCGCTTCTGCAGTAGTCAAAATGCCAAGGGCTGCAAGTGCAGCTAATGCTGTACATATCATCGCCATTCTCTTGTGCATTTTCAATTTACCGTTATTCAGTGACCTGAAGCAATCACAAAACAGACGAAAATTCACAAGCTTTAACGCTTTGCTTAACTAACCAAATCGATTTAACATTGAAAATAAATTAATTTACCCCCCAGTTGAGAAGATTAATCATTTGGCCCAAGGGCCAATTCCTACCAATTCGGGTAACAAGAAACAATTTCAAGTCTCAACAAAAAAATGAATCTTTAAAATTCAGGAAATCAATGGAAGATCAATAATTGTTGGATGAATGGTCAAAGAAAAACCCAAAGATATTTTCCTCGAATTGTTGGTCATTCCCAGAAATAGGAAAATTATATAATAAAATGAAAATATGAAAATATGAAAATATGAAAATACGTCTGTAATTCAATTCCCCAAAATGTCATTGCTCGATAATTATTTCCGCAAAATCCTCAGATATCTTCATTTGCTTTATGTAATGTGATCAGAAGATGGCGTGGTGCATGCGTATTTTTTCATTTATTTTCTCGCAAAAAGTGAAATAGTGATGATAAAAAAATTAAAGAAGAAAAAAGTGAAAAAGGATAACGGTTATAGTTGAAACTCCCCCCCGAGAGTGGAGAGAATATAACGTGGCTTGTTTCATGAAGGGTTTTATCGTTGCACATCGGTAAAATGAAATAATGCTATTGGATGAAAGTTGGTATATGGGGCTCTAGTAGTCTAGTAGTAGTAGTTGCCATAAGAGAGACACGTCCCTCTGGGCAAATGGTTTTTGTTCTGATAAGGAAGGAGTAAGTGACCACACCATTACCTCATGTGTATTGCGTATTCGACATTTAACTCGAGGTTTAAACTTCAATTTCTGAAAAATCGTCAAACCATCATAAAACACCAATGACGTAGTTCAGTCTAGTATTTTCCCCACTTTAAACTTTTACCACGGAAAAAATCAATGTTCAAATGAAAAATTTATTTCACACCTTTTTGTTCATAAATATTTATTCACTATTTTATTTTTTCAAGAAACCGAATTATTTGTTATAAACTATTAATATCCGCATTCGAAAGGTGTAAATTTATTCATCAGAGCAGGCCATGAATAATATATATTATATTCAGTAAAAATTGCAGAGGAGATGACGTCATCGCATTGTCAAATCTCGTAAATCGCGCATTCCGTTTTTAACTATTTTTTTTTATTAAAAATAATTTTCTCTCTGCAAAGATTTTGATGGGATTTCAATCTTTCGGTTTTGAGAAAGAGAAAAAAATTAATCGGGTCCTGTGGACATTAGATATTGTTTGCAGTTTAGTTAGCATATGAGAATGCGGCTAAGACCAAACCACAATTAATAATAGATATTGCAGTGGCGACCAATAATTAGCCCGATGGACATTGTCAAAGAGACAATGAATTTGCTATTACGTTAACAGACGTTCATTGAATCGCGCTCTGGGTCTTGTCGATTTCGCCTAATTATCACATGAGATTTGGAATTAGATACTCCAATTATTTACCGTCAGTACATACTATGTACACACCAAAAATCATAATATAACTATTATAAAAACAATAACACTATTATTTTATTTATCTGCTATTTTCTAGAATTTATTTATCATCATTTATCATCATTTATTATTTGTTAATTATCAATTGGTAATATCAAATAAATGTTTATTAACTTGAAAACAATTATTTATTTCGTTCAAATAAATCGTTTGCATGTGGAACAATCAATGGATTTTTTTTCTAGAAGTGTAAAGATGAGTTTCGATTTATGCTTCGTTGAACTAATATGGAGTGTAGAAGAATTACTGGGAGAATTCAAGATCGATATAATGAGGATGTCGGGGAAACGAGGAGAGTGTGAAAAATGGGAAGGTGAAATAACGACAAGGATATATAGAAAAGAATTTTTAGAAAGTTGAAACCTTTGAACACTTCCTTTATTGTTTAAAGGGGAATGTAACAAGATTCCAATCAATACCAATAATCAGTCCACTCATTATAAATAATTGACATCATGATGGGAAAAGTGTAAGGAACCATTTGAGAAACGGATTTTTTTCCACGATTTTTCCATAAAAATAGTGCAATTATTTATTGCATCTATTATATAATTTATTAGAAAAATTATTTGAATTGTTTTTATTTTATAAAGACAATTAGAAATAGATTTTTTATTGATTAATCAAATGAATTGTCTGGATGATTAATGAGTATGAATAATAATCAAAGTAATTGACGAAATTTTCCATTTTTATTCATTTTCTCGAATTCGAAAAACTTTAAATTAAAAATTGTTGACTTAATGAAATAATAGTCTTTCGTTATTTCAAGTGGTTGAACCTTGGACCGCAGTGGATTAATTAACTCATACGCCTTTGAATTACTTCCACAGGTAAAAGAGTACCTGACGGACAAAACCGAGGGAAAACTCGTGAGACTACAAAACATGCGGCTATAGAAAATAATCTCGTCGGGAATTTTCATTCTTATTTTCGGGATTAAATTAAATTTTTTAAAATTAACAGCTCAAGATACGCCCTTGAACTTTCTTTCTCTTTAATTAACAATTCAATACTTGAAATATTTTTGTAATTCAGTCAATCATCCTGTTTTTATTTATCATACATTCCCAAATATTATTCATTCCAAATAAATAATTTGATATTTTTAATTCAACAAAACTCCTGTTCCATCATTCGTCGCTCATTTTTTATTTTTTAAAATAAATATAAAAAAGTCTAACGCAAGGTATTCCATTTGAATAATTTCAATAATAATTAGTTTTTTTTCTTTATTCTTTAATTATTGCTTCAATTAATAATTTTAATAATTAATAATTTTATTAAATTTCATATCCTTTTATGTTATATGGTGGGTGCATCTAAATATGCTAACACAGCGTAAGAAATTTATTCTTTATATATAGCTCGCTATGTAATACATATTACACCACTTTTTACATAGAAAAAATACTAATCCAGCCTCAGGCGTATTTTAAAATGCACAATAACTCAACTATGTATCGCAAATAAAATATAATTCATCCAAATAATTTAATCATGGTATTTTTAGATCATTTAATCAGAATTACGACTGAAGTCGAGATGAGAGATTGTGATGGATGTGAATTTAATTAGTTCCGTTCATTTAATCCGAATTCTATAAATCAATTTCGGATTCAATTTCGGCGCGCATCCATTGCATTTTGGAAAATAGAATTCGAAATGAGTAACGACGAAAAAAAATTGAGTAAACGATTATATTTCTGTATCTTTTCCTGGCTCCACGGAATATTTAATTATGTACTGTAATACGTTTAATTAATATTATATATAATATTTTATATTCACTGGGATGTGTGAGAGTATGAGAGACACGGATAGACGGGAGTTTCATTATTTGTGTTGTGGAGATTAATTAATTCTCGAATTAATTGATTATAAATTTACTGTACTGACAGACGACAGCATTCCCTGAAAAATATCTCATTAAAAATGAAACTCACTTACGGGTATTAAAATTAAAAAAATGGACGACCATAAATTCATAATTATCGAATAAACTCGAATCCACAAACAATTATTAAATTAATCATCCATTGAATCTAGATCCACCAGCATATTGTTAATTACACAACCATTCAGTTAATCTTCAATATAATATTCCTATTGATTACTAAATAATCAACTAAATAATCATAATCAGATTATTTCTTTAAATACTCAGAATGGAATTGTCATTTAACAACAACAATAACTTGAAAAAAAAAATATCTTATGGGGAGGTATCTTACGTGTATGAAGGCTGGACGGTAGGACAATAGCTGAACGGATAAAAGAGTTGAAATGGAAGTTTAGAAAAGTTCTGACACATTTGCATAGAGTAAAACCAACAGAACTAGTAAACTATTCATCCCCGATAAACTCAGCTGCTTATGTGAATATTTCTCTCTTTCTCTCTTTTTCTCTTACCCTTCTACCCCTCTTCCCCTCTGCACCTCTTCCCCTCTTCCCCTCTACCCCTCTTCCTTTTTTCCCCTCTGCCCCTCTGCCCCTTTTCCCCTCTACCCCTATTTCTCCCTTTCTCTCATCTCTTCACACGTGTCTAGCCAACAATTGCATTTGTCTTTCACAACCATGAGCTCTATCTGGTTAATGTTAAACTCGAGTAATCGCAGATATAAAAAAATATATAAACAAATGTAAGTCCATTTCCAGAGAAAAATAGAGAATAATAAAAATTGTTGCACCAAGCGTTTACCCGTATCACTGCATGAATGTCTGAATAGCTGTGGGCGTTTCTACTTCCTTTATTTACGGTATAAACATTCAGTATTTTTTATTCTATTGGAGGATTAGTTGTTGAAAACTGGGTAGTATGAATAAAAAAGTTATGGTCTATTATTATTATTTTTTTATTTTTAATCCGTATTGTCGTATGTCATTGCCTTGAGGAAAACAAAATCCACAGAATTGTTGAGATATAATTCGTCTCGACAACGAGTGCTTCTTCATTTTACTTTTTTTTTTGTTATTGGTTTAATAATTGCATATTTATTGATTCTCTTTGAATCGACGAATGGTCTGGTCCGCCTGTTATTCTTGCTTTCAAAGACAATTCGTTTATTCGTTTATCCTTTTGGGATAAAATATTTATATTATAATAACTAATAGATGATCATTACGCTTTAATTGTTTTTCCCCCTTTTGGGGGATAAGTGGAATATTTTTGGATGTTAATCAATCCCGAGTTTAAATTATTCAGAGTTTTTTATTGTCTCGTTTATTTTATTGTCTCTCTTTCTCTCTTTCCCTCTTATCCTTCTACCCCTCTTCCCCTCTGCACCTCTTCCCCTCTTCGCCTCTTCCCCTCTTCCAACTTTTTGGGGGATAAGTGGAATATTTTTGGTGGATGTTAATCAATCCCGAGTTTAAATTATTCAGAGTTTTTTATTGTCTCGTTTATTCATGTCGCTCTCTATCACTCGATATTTTTGTCATAGAATAAACACTTGTTGTCTTTCCATGTGCAATCGA